TTAATATATAAACATAAATGATTAAATTTTTCCAAAGTCATCCAGCTGATTTATTTACCACTGACACTAGACTCCCATTATCTAATAGTACATTTAGGGCACAGTTGTTTCCCACTTCAACTGGAAGGCTACTTGTTGAAATAATCTAGACAAAGAAAACATGTGACTCATTTCTTTGTCTCCCTTGTTCTGAAGCCTGTATCGCCTGTGCTTCCATCTTCAGCTGATACCTCAGTTGTCCCTGATAAATGTGAAGGAAATAATACATGCTAGAAAAGCACATTAAAAAAAAATAATAATAATTGCCATCAAGCCGGTTCCGACTCAGAGAGCGTATAGGACAGAGTAGAACTGCCCCATAGGGTTTCCAAGGAGCAGCTGGTGGATTCGAACTGCTGACCTTTTGTTTAGCAGTGGTAACTCCTAACTACTGCACCACCAGGGATCCGTGTGTGTGTCTGCATGTGTGTGTGTGTGTGTGTGAGTGTATAATAGTTAACTGCTATTATATACACGTTTTGTTTTCTCTCAACCAATATTCTTTTTTGTAAAAATTGGAGCTTTATATCATTTAGTACTATTTTCTGGATGCTATATTAATAGTTAATGATAAGAAATGAAATGCAACTAAAAACCATACTGTAATCAGCCAATACAAAATGGTCAAAAACAAGTTAAATTCAGTTGGAAAAAAGTTTAAAACCAGTTGGAAAAGCCTAGTAAACAACTTGTTTGAAATTATTTTTCAAAAGCTAAACTCTTCCAATAAATTCTTTTTAAAACACCCGAAAGTGACTAATAATTTATACTGTTTGATGTTCTTTCACATATAAAATCACAGAATTAATATATTGACCTATAGTTAGAGGTTCCATAAGAGGACCTAGAGTTGCTCCTCATAAGAAACAGAAATGGTATGAATTTTTCTGACTTCAAGAGAAAAATACCAGGAAGATTGCTCACTTACTAAAGAGTTTAACACACATACACATATGCTGAATTTTACTAAATACAGGGTAAGTGAAAGAAATGCATATCAACAGTAACAAGTCAATTCTCTGTGACTGAAGGCTAATTTTGCCATTTATGATTTCTTCATCTTCCCCCTGCTTCTAGTTGTCTGACACATGATGATTTTCTAGTAAGTACCATTTAGTCTACAAAGGTTCAGAAGGAAAAACAGGACAATTATTTTTTAAGCATTATTTTAGGATTTTATATAGCAGAGTTGTTGGAAATAAATTTGGAATAGCAGTAAGCAACTACTGTAGATTATCTGGAAACTCCTGAGGGAAGGGGCCATGTTTTTAATCTTTGTATTCCCAAAGCCTACCCCACTGACAGGAATATGGTAGGAGTTTATTCAGTGTTTGTTGAGGGGGTCTGTGCACTTAAAAATAAGCCTTTCTGAATTTCTGGTGTTCATAAATAATGAAGAGCCAGGTCTTTTCTGAATTCCAGTCTTCATTTCCATGAAAAATACCTGGACATCTATTGCTTATGGTACATGGTAATGTCACTTTACAATTTTATAGTGTTTCCTAACTTAAAAAGAAGAAGAGAAAAGTAAACTTTCTCATATAATCACTCTATTTGATCTTCACTCTTTGTCCACACTGGCCGTCTTTCACTCCTTCCAATTTGCTGTTTTCCCTCCCAACACAG